CCGAACGCGTGGTGTCCGGGAGGAACTTGCCGATCCTTATATCGGCGAGCACGTACTCAAGAGACCTCAGAGCAGGCGCAACATTGTCACGCCCATAGATGTGCATCATCTCATCCTGCGGAGCCTTGTGATATCCCAAAATCCTCCGGTGCAGCGCGTCAACACCATACTTTGACATCCAAGACAAAGTCGTAGCCTTACAGCTGTGAGTACCAAGCTTTGAGGCTTCAGGGAAACCTCTGGCAGACAAAATCCCGCGCAACCAACCAGCTGCTACAGTGGCCGTGGGCGGAACACCCGACCATCCGCCCTCCTGACCACGGCTGGGCAGGAGAGGAAAATCTTATTTTCACTGGAAATGTTAAAAGCTCGAAACATAACCCCCGGGTGGGTGGGTGGGAGTTTTGAAAATCGCGTGCCCTACCTCAGAGCACGAACCTTGCGGCATCACATCGACTTGCTTCAAACAATCATGTCTGATGCTTTCAAGTGGCAAGGTAAAACTTAAATCGAGCAGGATTTTGAAGCGAAGCTACAAAATCCAAAAACCATTTCCGTGAAAATAATACCGTACGCAGGCCGGCTGCGAAGGTGGCTTATTTTCACTGGAAATGTTAAAAGCTCGAAACATACTCAGAGATATGACGTATTTCGTAAACGATGAAATCTGGCTTGTTCCACTTCGAAATAAGTCCAATCATATAGAATATTCAAAAACTCAATCACTGTAACATGTACTGTGGATCTCACTCGCGCACTCCACTGTTTTCCTTTAAGGTCGCATGGGGCATTCGAAAGATGTCTCAGGAAACACTTCACGACTTCAAGACTTGACTTCCAAGTGAATGCGGCACATCCCGCAACCCCCTGAGCACCAGTGCCCCATTCACTTGAAGACCAAAGGGAGAGCACGAGCGAGTAAAGCAGCTGATAATTCGGTCCTGGGCACACCTGAGATCTGTTGTCCTCTGGACGGATTGTCCGCTGGGTTCGACAGCGATGGTACACGATCCAGCCAGCAAATCACTTCAAGATCCTCTTCACTGCAAGCGAAGAAGTCGATTAACGATGCGCAGACCGAATTGTCACTGTGTCCTCGAACAAAGCTTCCAAACACACCTTCGTTGTCAGTGAAAGCCACCACGCCTTTGCGCCCTACGAGCGGCCTGAAAACTTCCAAGGAAATGGCCAGAGCAAGCGCCTCAAGTTCGAAGATTACGGTTTCCTTTTCACGCTCCCCATCCTTGAGCAGCCTGTCCACATGACACTGTTGAAGCTTGTATCCAAACCAACTCAAGGCGGCTCCAGATGAGTTGAAAATCAATCCTCCTAACCCGCAGTAGCCACCGGGCTCGAAGGATGCATCCACGTAGATGTGCACATATTCATCCCTCCTAGCACGCACTGGCCTTGGCCTCGAAGTTTCAAGAAACTGCTTAAGCTGAGTTAACCCAAGACGGGCAAGAGGGCTGAGCTCCCACTTGCGTTGTCGAGAGTGCTGTCCTAAGAGCTTAAGCGCTGCCTTTGGGCGACGGCCGAAAACCTGGGAGCTTGCAAACTGAAGCCGACCACGTAGCTTCTCACATTCGCTAGGGTCGAGCTGGCCCGAAGCAAGGGCGCGATCGATATCCTTTAAGGCCTCCGACCGTCGCTTGGTAGTGTTTTCAAGGAAGATGAGACCAAGCTTAGCGTCTCTAAGAATGATCTGGACCCCAAGGACCACACACATGGAACTGTAACTCAGTTCCTTGTCCCGGGATACTTCCCAGCCGATCAACTTGAAAAACATCGTGATCACGAAATCACAATGCTTAGCGAAGGCTGCCCCACAAACGTTCAAGTAGTCGTCGAAATACTCACTCCAAGCGAGCGTGAGGGCTACAGCCCCAAGCTTCCAAATCGCGTATGCTGCCCTGATGAAGCTGGTGACGCTGGCGGTTGATCCGAACGGAAGAACTCGCTGTTTGTAGACCTCACCTTCGCCCCGCTCGACATTGAACAAGATGAAGTAGCTATCAAGCTCGTACGAAGAGTCGGATAGCGGGAGTTGTTTATAAGCGGTACGCAGATCCCATGCCTTGCACACAGGTGCCGCATGCTCGGAGCGACCACTACGGAACCACTCATTTAACCAACACCCTAACATGCCAGCGACGATGTCAATCGTGTGGACACTTATCTGCTCAGTTTGCGAAACGGCAGAATTCACCTGCGACGACAGATAATTGTCGATAGGCCTAATCTTGGGCCCATCCTCGGATTCCCCTTGGCGCACACCAAACCTGTGCGTGAGCGATGCATTGGAGGGAACGTCACTCAAAGCAACGGGTCCTTCCACGAACCCTCGCTCAAGTTCTTTCTGAGTGGCCTTCAGGACCCCTTGGTCAATCACGGGATCGTCGGAGGCCTTGACAGTAGCCACCAAGCCGTCTCGCAACCGTTTGGCCCCAGACCTCAGTTGGTCCTCGGACTGCTCCGCTGGTTTGAACCTCCGGGTGAAGACATTGGACAAGGGCAGCTTACCAGTCAAATCAGACCCCTTAAGGATGTCATCCACAAGCGTGACGTCCTCATGCTGAACCTCATTCAGGAGGGCTCGGAACAAAGCCAAACGCTTGGTCGAAAGAACTTCCTTCCGGAACTCAGGCAAATCAGCTTTCAAGGCCTTCTCAACTGGCTCAAGCTCGGACGCAAGAGCAATCCACCTACGAAGAGTTTCGGTCCTTTCCAATGCAACGTTCGCCTCGCCTTGGCGATGGATTTTCTGAACAGCAGCCCTGATCTCGTGCGGGAGAAGAGAGGCCAGCTGAGTAGGATGGCCGATGAGCGCAGCTTGTTCAACGAACTGCTCAGGAGTCCGGTACACACCAATGACAGCCTTGGTAAGCCCATCACAAGACTCGGACGTGGCCGCTTTGGAGCGATCTAAGACGAACCCTAAACCCTCCAGGAGCTTGACATGTTCAGACTTCAAGTTCTCCGGTCCTCGAGGCATGTATGCCACGATCACGTCTCTCCGGCCGTTCCAAGGCATTGTAGCGTGCAACCTCCTACCGTCAAACCGAAAGCCCTCCGGTGTTACAGGCAAACAAACCCCTTTGATCGACCGGCCACGGAACTCATGCTCAACATCCCCATCTGGGTCTTCCATCCACAAGGATCCCCTCTCGAAGTCCGAAAGGGCTGCCAGTGCATTGTCCGTAAAGGACTCGTTGTTGGCATCTCTATGGGGCAAGGCGGCTAAGTCCCTGAACAGACCCACAGTGCCAAAAACCAATCCAGGAAAGAGGCCTCTTACATACGAGCACATAGCTTTGACCGACTCGGGATATTGCTTGGTCACAGAGCGGACTCCATTCAGAGGTCCATGCACAAAGCTGCCGGCTTGGAATGACTTCGCTCCCGAGTCTCCCTCCCACCTCAAGGATTCTGATGGAAGCAAGTCAAGCAGCAGACACAGGTCCTTGCGATGAACACGATGTCCCTCGTTTATCAATCTTGCCACACTCTCAGCACAGCCGGACTTCATAGCTTCCCGAACTTTGGGCGCATCGGGATCTAAACCAAAGCGGCTGTGCGGATTGACACTGGAATCGTGCTGCCGCCTCTTTTTCGAGGTCCCAGAAGGCGGGGTAGGGCCTAAACCCAAACTAGGGGGGGCCCCGAGCTCAACCATACTAGCGGGCTTAGCGTCCTCCTCACACCCCTTGGGCAACACATGGGCGCGAAGAACGCGGCTGCCGGCAGGAAATTTTTGCAGCGCTGGAGTGCAAGCAACTTGGGTGCCGGGGCACCAATCCGAGGCAAGCTTGTGGCCGGGACGAAGAAAGGAATTTGCGAGCCTGGAGGGCAAAACAACAGAATGCACGGAAGCAAATTCGCTGAGCAGCGGGGGCACCCGCTTGCGAGATTGGATACCTGTGAATGCTCGCGAAGCTTGCACTGCATTGGTTGTACCAGTAATGTCAGACGGGGGCGCAGCACACCCGAGAGTCAGGAAGTGCTCCTTGAGCAAACTGGCCATAAGCTTGCAGAGGCCCCACGGATAGGCAGTCTCACTTGCTGTGGCCCATTTGGGCCCGACCTTCCCCCAGCCCAAATGGACATGCTTTCCAGAACAAGTTCGCTGGAGCTCACGGAATTTGGGAACATTGTGCACAAGAAGTGTTTCTTTACGACGCATGCCACCATACTCACAGTGATGAAAAATAGTTTGGAAAATATCCCGTCGTTGAAGAAAGTGCTTCCAGTCTGGCAGGAGCCAGAGGTAACTCCGAGCGGGATTCTCACAAGAAAAATGTTTTCCATGCTCAACGCAAAAGATGCACAACTCGAGGGTAAGGCGGTACAACTCGTTTGCCTTGGTCACCCTGATGGCGTCGAGGCCTTCAAGACCATCCACACCTTCCGGGCACAACTCGCTTCGGAGAAAACCAACACGGGGCTTGAGCACCAGCTGCTGCAGCTCCCGATTCACAGTTCCAACATACTCTGCAAGCTTTGCGACAATGAACATGCAGGCTTGCAAGCATGAAAGCTGTGCTGGCACAAACGACATGATCCCAAAAAGACGTGGCAGCATCACCTGCAGGTAAAGCAGTCGTGCTGTCTGTGCTGGCAGACACGGTCCACCTGCATTTTGAAAGGCTTTCTCAAACGTGGACCGTCTATGCTTGAGAACTTCAGGGAGCTATTAGGGGATGTCTGAAGCATGCTCTCTAGGACCGAGTTGCATGGTTAGCATATCAAGAGGCAAGGTCCCAGCCTGCAAGTCTTCAAGGTCTCTTCGTTCGTGGCCTTGGCATGTGGTTCTTAGCAGCCCTAGCAAGCGACCGGATTGCCGGACTGATTGAGGCGATTGCCCACTTCCGTTCAGCACCCACCTTGCCAGACCTCACTGAGAAAAACGCCAGAAAGAAACTCGATCACAGAAAGTTGGGCTCATGAAGAAGCAGAAACGAACTTTTGTGCTCGTGGCTCTGGTCGTGACAGGTCGCAGCCTACACGAAGCAACTCGGTGTGCAGATACTCCATCTACACTTGGAACAGCCTCCAGGTCTGAGCTTGGCTCGCTGCTCTTTCGACAAGGACTTGTAGTAGGAAGCTGGCTTCTTGAAGGCAAAGTTCTTTCGCTTTTTCTTTGGACCGGCGTTGGTTTTCATGGGTTTTGCGATGCTTTTCATGGGCTTCGTGGCTTTCTTCTTCATGGGTGTCTTCACCTCCGGCTGATCAATTCCAAGGCTCTGCTCAGCCATGCTTTGCTCATCCATCTCCTTGGCGTCCTGGGCAAAGAGACGAGGGAAGCCAGAACTGTCCACTGACAAGGCACTCTCGGCACTAGGCTGCGGTTTGAGACACCTTTTGGCAGGACTGAGCGAAGAAGAGGCAGGCTCTGGCTTGGGCTTGGAGCCCATGCTTTGGCTGCCAGGCCTCGAGGTTTTCGTCACCCTTGCAACAAGGGCTGTGAGCTCCTCTCGCTGCTCGCGGGCCAGTTTACTACAAGCTTCTTGGAGGCGAACTGCAGAACAGCTGAGGCGACGAACATGATTCAGCAAAGTCAGGACCCGCTCAACCATCCAGTTAGCCCAAAGGCCAGGCGACAGGGATCCACTCAAAGCGGGGTAGCTCGAAACCAGCCCCAGCATCACGTCTTTCAAGAAGCTGATGTGCAGCTCTGCTGCCGGGACATGGTCCAAGAAGACACTGATCAGCATGGAGAGCTGCAACAAGCCTAGACCATTGGCTGCTTTCGATCGGGCCAGTTTCTCGTATGGCCCCAAAACGAAGGCATCTTTCGTGCCTTTCGCTTTGACGTACTCTGACAACGACTTCTTCAGGCCCTCCTTGTCATACTTCGGAATGCACGATCTTTTGGGGGCCATGAGATCTACCTGGTTCCTCAGGAACACTCCGACCTCGACCCTTGAGCCAGGCAAAACCTGCATCGGTGTTTCAAGCTTGGCAGCAATGCTCCACAAAAAACAATGCCTTTCGAACAGAAGCTGGGGCAATGGCGGGCGATTATGAGCGAAGCCAACCAGTCAGGCAAAGCCGGAAGAGCATTCCATCAGCTCAGAGAGCGGCGAAACAAAACATATCATATACTTTAAATGTGTGATCCCTTCATATGCTTCAAAAAGAAATCCTAAATCTGGGCATGCTTCCACTCGTGCTCACCAGGCATGCCTGCAAGCCCACCAAGACTTCATATCAAGATCCGGATGTTGGCCCAGTCAGCATGGATTTGTCCAACCCATGTATGACCCGGCAACCGGCGAATGTCCATCGAGCATCTACCGACTAGAGAATATCATCGATAGCTGTTTCTTGCAGTTTCCATCCTACACCCACCTTTAAAAACCTAGCGTTTGCCTTAATGAAAACCTAGCGGAGAACCTATAGGAGCATATAGCACCCCACCCGGTTTCTAGCGGGTCCACTAGGAACTACCAGGCGCACTTGGTAATTTCAAGCGCAGCAGATTCGATTGGCAGTTTCAAGCGGAATGCCTCGGTTTTTCAAGCGTTCGATGGTTAGGGGTAGAATAAGTGCCTTCAGCACCTTCTCAAAATCGATTTGCAGCCAGGTGTGTCAGGAGCACTTTGCTCCTGCAGCAGTGCATGTCTAGGATCGATGGATCATGCCGTTTTTTTATTTGCCGCAGCCGTATATCTCCAAATGCTATCCTTCCGCAGCCATGGCTAAAGTGGTGCTGCTGTCTAAGCTGGACCCCAAGGGCAACAAGGGTGCATGGCTTAGGCTGAAGGAGGACGAACCGGCGAGAACCAGAGAAGAACTCTTGTACCACTTCGGCTGCTCTGTGCTGGACGGTGTGCACGAGACCGGTAGCAGCTTCCACAAGTACGAGGAAGTTTGGTTCGTTGTGGAGAAACCGTTAGTCGGCCACGGCTTGGACAACAGTGCGGTAGCACTACAGGTCTGGGATGTACAGATGCAAAAGCATGTCAGTTTCGCTTTCAAGTATGAGAGCTCCGCCGACCTTCATAGCTTGGACTAAAAATGTGCCTTGCTATTAATGCATGCGTGTGCATGCTGCAGTCTTTGCATGTCTATTAATTCGGTGTATATAAGTTTATAATTCTATTTTTTGATGCACGTATTGCATAATCTCATGGTATATATATATATATATATATATATATATATTATATAGACACAAAATCAAATACATATATATATATATGTATATATATATATGTTATATATAAGTATATATATATATATATATATATATATATATATATAACATACATCATGTACTGCATGCATATCTATGTTTATATACATGCATGTACATGTGCATACACATATATATTAAACATATATGTATATATGCACACACACATGCATATATATATATATACACACACATGCATGCACATTTTTACATATATATACACATATACATACATACACAAACCCACACATATATATATATATATACATACATGCACACATGCCGGCATATGTATCCACATAAAAATAAAACTATATATATATATATATATATTAAGTTTTGATAAATAGATAGATAGACCCCCGCTGGTAAGTACATTTTTTCGTCCGTTGAGGCGACCAAAGCGGTGTTATCAATTGTAAAGAGGGTTTCGAATCTGCCTGCTTAACACTGCGACTCCTGGAAGTGGGGACGAAAAGAGTCTTGTGTCTCACAGGACCGACAGTTCGAAGATTTCTGCCGTGTGCGGTACTTGCTACCCCACCGTGTGAAAATAGCGTCGAGCTTGAACTCTCTGCATGCGACATGTGCGAGTGCAAGCATTCATACCTGGAGGTTCGAACACAATTGACATACAATCGACATCTCAATACAAAGCACGATCTTTGAACAATAAGTTTCGTTCTTTGAACACTTGCAGAAGATAGAGCTTTATTGTTCAAAGAAAAACAACATGACAAAATGACTTAGAGAACTAAGTCCAATTTTGATTTGTTGTTTTAGGGCTTTCCTTTTACACTGCCCATTTATTGAACTCATTTATACATGCTGTAAACCAGTTGAAGAATACATTCGTCCGTTGCAGCTTGACCTCTCGAAGGGGCAGGAAGCCCTGAATCGGGCGAGAGTTTTATTTGAAATACCCACCCTCTCCACCCTTACTGATTCGTGGAAAGTGCAGAGATTGCATCAGTGTTGTGCTACCTCAGGAAGCTTTGGACCTCAGTTTGAGGACACTCAGGTATGCTTTGTGCATAAGACCTGGTTCGGGTCTTGGCTCTCTGCTTCGCAGTTTGCTCGGTCTTGCTCGTCTTCGACTGGCAGGCCGTTCACTAAGGTTCAGTTTGTGAGCCGTGCACGGCTTGAGAGTGGCTAGTTCTCCTTTCGGAGGGGACGAAAAGAGTCTTGTGTCTCACAGGACCGACAGTTCGAAGATTTCTGCCGTGTGCTGTACTTGCTACCCCACCGTGTGAAAATAGCGTCGAGCTTGAACTCTCTGCATGCGACATGTGCGAGTGCAAGCATTCATACCTGGAGGTTCGAACACAATTGACATACAATCGACATCTCAATACAAAGCACGATCTTTGAACAATAAGGTCTGGAATGCATGGGTGCAAGCAACAAAGCCCCTGACGGTCCAGGCGTTCCAGCCCATTGACTTGGATCTGTCCCTCAATCAAGGCAGGCACGTCAGTTTGTCGACGACAACTCTTACAGTGTAACTGCCCAGGTGGAGCGAAGTTGGTGCAACCAGTGTCGAAGGTGACGCCCAAGGTAGCATACTGTTGTGTGCCGTGGAGACCGGCGCAAATCATGCGCCGAGCACCATGCTTGCCGTCAATGACCAGCAGCGGACTATTGCTGCAGTGGGGACACAGCTTCATATGTTCTGCCACACGATCCATGTGCACTCGATGTATGAGTGGCACGTGTGATTGCAAACACTCATCAAAGCCAGACTGAAAGTTCCAGGTCAAGTGTCTCGGCACGGAGCCGGAAAGCTTCACTGCATTCCACGTGTACCAGGCCATGAGGATGTCATCTTCTACGTGCGGCAACATAGTAAAATCTTCTCCGAATATCAAGCTGTGTTGAATATGCTCTGTGTGCCGCTTGGCCCAAAGCAAAACCGCAGAACGCAAAGAAACATGCTGCAACAGCGTCACTTCGACTGCGAAGTAAGAGCGGTACTTGGGTATGACAAAGAATCCTGTGGAGAAAGCATCCTGGTAAAGGTACTGCACATCGGTTGCATGCCCAAATCGCCCTTGTCCCTTTCGAAAACACCAATCATTGATGTAAAAGCGGTTGCAAGATGGGCAGCTGGCTTCCTGAAAGGATGCGTATTGCACACCAGCGGCTAAGGAATACACGCGAAAGCGATGTTCATGCAAAGACTTGTGCCCAGGCAGATTGTTGGGGACAATTGCCTGAGATACGCATTCTCGGGCCTTAAGCTGGGACTTGTCTGGACAGAACGCACACGTCTGCCTGCGGTTGTGCACTTCCACCAAAGTCGCAGAGGGTGCGACGCCTTGAAAGCTTTTCAGGAGCGGCGGCAACCCGGCAGAGACTGACGGTGCATTGAACAGTGCCGGCAAATAATGCTCAATCTTCCAAACGACATTGTTTGCGTTCTGAGAGGACAGCTGCAGACCATAGTCTTTGAGGGCAACCTCTCGAAGCACTGGTGCGGCTAGACTGGCAGGAATGCAGGAGGCTAACTGAAAGACAGTCGCAGCAGCATCAGTGGGCAAGGGCGAGAGCAAGAGCGAAAGAGAAAAGTCTTCTCCCAGCTGCATGTGCCATGAGGGCAGAAGATCGCATCCGTCTTTTAAGAGTTGCAGTCTGTTCGAGTTTGCTGCAACAGAAACAGGAAGATCCATGTTTGTTTTTCTATTGCTAATTTTTGGAGTTCTTACCAACTTTAAGGAGTGTCACTGCCAATGTGTTTCTTCGCTTCTTCCTGCCTGCATGCGACGTGCACTGAAGAAAGCTGCTGGGCATTGGCTGATGCTGATAGACATGCTCATGGCGATGCTCGTGTTCACGGTCATGGTGATGGTCAGGGCGGTGTTCAAGGTCATGATGTTGATGGATGACAAGGATGGTGATGACGAGGATGACGATGGTGATCGTGATGATGAGGATGATGGTGATGGTGATGGCACTGATGATGATTATGATCATGATGATAATAATTTTGTGGTGGTGGTGGTGGTGGCGGTGGTGGTGGTGGTGGTGCAGTGGTGCAGTGGTGCAGTGCACGGTCGCTCGTCGCTCTCTCTCTCTCTCTCTCTCTCTCTCTCTCTCTCTCTCTCTCTCTCTCTCTCTCTCTCTCTCTCTCTCTCTCTCTCGTCGCTCTCTCTCTCTCTCTCTCTCTCTCTCTCTCTCTCTCTCTCTCTCTCTCTCTCTCTCTCTCTCTCTCTCTCTCTCTCTCTCTCTCTCTCTCTCTCTCTCTCTCTCTCTCTCTCCATCGCTTTGTCTATCCGTCGCTTCCTCTGTGCTGGCCTTGCTGCTGCTGCTGCCGCCCCTGGCTTCCGTTGCTGCTCCTGTTGCTGCTTCTGCTCTTGTTGCCTTTTGCTGCAACTTGTGGTCTTGTTGTTGTTGTTGCTGTCGCTCGCTGCTGCCACCCCGGTTGTTCAGGGTTTCGCTTTTGCTTCTGTTCTTGCTGCTGCTGTGACATGACGGTAGGTGCAAGACCGAACATGCACGCACATGATTGCAACATGATGCAACTGCACATCTGACATGTCTGTTCCTCCAGGCCATAGAGCCCACGGCTTCCAGGAGGAAATCCGACCACCCTCTCTCCGCCCCTTGCAACTATGAGAACCTGCCAAAAGTTCTGCAAAGTTCAGGGTTCCAGGACTACAGACACCAATCCATCCCCCCCCAAGT